GTTATTACTACTATTATTATTAATATTATTGTTATTACTGTTATTATTAATAACAGCAATATTAGTTACAGTGATAGTAATAGTAATGATGCTAATATTAATAATAATCGTAGTCTAAGAGCAGTAATAGCAAAAAAAGTCACGGAGATATTGTTATTGATAACAATAACTATAACAGTGTTAATAATAATAATAACAATAGTAGCAGTAATAGTAATAGTAATAGTAATAGTAATAGTAATAGTAATAATAATAATAATAATAATAATAACAATAATAATAATAATAATAACAATAGAAATAATAATAGATATTAATGATAAGAAATAACAATAATAGTGGTAAAAAGTCTTTATAAGAAACACTCTATTCAACCATTTTGAAAAATATGACTGTTAATAAACATTGTAGTATATTTCAGACGTCAACTTTGTAGACGGTAACTGCATCTGCATAGATCTGAACACTGATGCTTATTACGCAGATAGCAGAAGAGGTTTTTAAGAAGATTACTTAGGAGGAAGAAGGCCGGATAGCAGAATTCAAACCTCTTATAAAGCTCAGTTTATGCGAACAAGTCTTCAAAACATAAATAAGCAATTAAACAAGTCTTAGCGGTATTATTCTAAGCAGTAAAATTTAATTAAATAACCTTCGAAATGCGAAGCGCGGCGCTACGGTCAATTCGTCTTACCGTACAGAAAGGTGTTAAATAATACAATACCCGCTGTGCCCCGCTCCTATTTCGCCGCGGTAAGAATTAAAAAAGTAAATATAAGAACCATCATACAAACCAAATTCCATCTCAAAGTTTCTTTAAATTTTTTTATGTAAGCAAAACTAAATTATAAAAAACGCCGCTTTCCTAGAAATATTCGTAACATTAATCGACAAAATCAAACTTTGGGCTGTTATTGACTATGACGCTATCGATGTATGAACTTCTTGTTTTCACCAGGAAGAAACACAAGAAAAATAAGTTCTCCTTTCCCGTCTGCTTCTCTTTAGCCTCCTCGTAAAGACAAAAACTGGTTTTCTAATTGTTTTTTAAAGAACTAAAACGGCTTTTGTTTGTGCAAATATGCATATATATATATATATATATATATATATAT